GGGGGGTGCCTGTGGTTTTCCCCCCCCCCCCCCTTTCAGTGAGGGGGATGCTTCCTGAGATTCATGACCAAATCGTGTGTGTTCCCATTTCCCATCTTAGACAGAGGTCATCAGGCTATTTGTCCCCATTGTGAAATCTGCTCACTTCTTGCTCTGGTGACAATTCTTAAAATTTGGAATTTCTCATCACTTGCTCTTGGTAACAGTGGTCACCGCAACAAATAGATGGTGAATCTCTGCGGCAAGGAAACTTAGATTAACATGACCGCGTGTCCAACCCTTGCCACCCAACCAAAAACTAAATACAGGTGGGTGTAAACTAGTAGATGGTTTTTTGTTCAGCTTTCGCACTGAATAAATAAAAAGAAAAAATTGAATATATTCCCATCCATGCTAAATACTGTGTATGGAGAAATCTTCTGTCCTGCTTCTGATTGGATGCAGGCACTGTTCGGCCAACATTTTTCAGCCTGACTTTTTTTTTTTTGTCAAAATGTTGGGTGGGAGGCAAAAGAGGCCTTCTTTTTTTTAACTCCAGAACTCTGAAAAGTTAGCCCTTGCAGTTGGGCTACTTCCACACTGCAGGGGTTAAATTCTAGTTTTTTACGTGGCCAGAAGAAATACTGAACCCTTGGTCCTATGGCTGGCACCACTCACCTCTCTGCCCCTCTGCTTTGGCTGTGGTTTATCCCTCGGTGTCCTCACATCTAATAGACCTGTATTAGATGTGATGACATCACATGCTTTTTCTTAGACCGCCGGAGCATGGGGAAGAAGAGATTATGGGGACCAGTCTAGCATCCAGGCAGGACTGAGGATTGGGTGAGAAATTCTTATTTTCACCCTCTAGACGAAACGAGCACTTAACCCTGGCAGTTCAGGTGTTGCCCCACAGCAAGGGTTAATTCTTAGAAATCTTGGAGTTCCACTTTAAAGCGGCATGCCTCAGCACTTCCAATATTTGTTGTGTGCCTTTTGTTGCCACCGGTCACTTCTTTGTATTGTGCGTTTGAAATCTCTCCTCGGTTTCCATCTATCAGGTGGCATTCTACAAGTAGTACTGGAATCTACATTCCAGTACTACTTGCAGGGTCCCCTGTAGTCAGTTACATGCCCCTAACTGGTCTTTATAGCGCTAATTTCCTAAATGAGATTATTGCTTAAAGGAGAACTATGAGGCGGGTGCTTTTCACTCACCTCATAGTTCTAGCCGACCTGTGACAGTGAGACTGTCACAGGTCGGTCAGTAGATCGGGAGGTGAGCGAACACAATACCAGGTTTGCTCACCTCTCGATCCTGTCATGGCTCTCTGCTGTGACAGGGGGAGGGGCTGGATTCCCCCTATCCCCACTCCGATCCGCCAGCGCTGACTGGCTGAACGGACGGGGGAGGGGGCGGGTACAGCTGGCTCTGCCTCTAGATAGGCAGAGCCAGCTGTCAGTCACTCAACTGGGCGGATCCTGTCATCTACGTCGGGATCCGCTGCGGCGTCTCGGTATACCGCGAGCTGTAGCTCGCGGTATACTGAACTTAGGGTAACGGGAGGACACTAGTTTGTGTCCTCCCGTTACCCTAAGGAGAACTATGGGAAAAAACACTGACCCCATAGTTCTCCTTTAATACTATAAAGGTCCTGAATTCATATCCCCCCTCTGTTGTGTGCTCTTTGGATACAGGCTTCAGCAACTGCAGCATCTTAAATCTGGCATAGCTCACATTCTACAATGTTGAGCTTATAATGAACAGTGTTGCATCTATGACCTACAACATCATGGAATCTTCTGCAGTATTGATGCATTAGCATAGAAACTGCATTTGAAGCTTTCATTTTCTCTCGGTTCCTTAGTCAGCAAGGACTTGAATAAACTAAAATGTAGAGATTAGCCACTTCAGCCTTCTTCCCTGTGTAATGACTTTTGTCATAAGATATCAGCTGCTTAATGAGTGGATTTTATAAGTAGGAGTCTAAAGCTGGCCTTACAATTATCTGCAGATTTTCTCTGGTCAGATGGAAAAGGTGCAACAGATTCCTCCATCTACACTTAAAGGAGAACTATGGGGTCAGTGTTTTTCCCCATAGTTCTCCTTAGGGTAACGGGAGGACACAAACTAGCGTCCTCCCGTTACCCTAAGCTCAGTATACCGCGAGCTACAGCTCGCGGTATACTGAGACGCCGCAGCGGATCCCGACGTAGATGACGGGATCCGCCCAGCTGCGTGAGTGACAGCTGGCTCTGCCTATCTAGAGGCAGAGCCAGCTGTCCCCGCCCCCTCCCCCGTCCGTTCCGCCAGTCAGCGCTGGCAGATCGGAGTGGGGAGAGGGAAATCCAGCCCCTCCCCCTGCCGTGACAGGATCGAGAGGTGAGCGAACCTGGTATGTGTTCGCTCACCTCCCGATCTACTGAGCCAACCTGTGACAGTCTCATTGTCACAGGTCGGCTAGAACTATGAGGTGAGTGGAAATCACTCATCTCATAGTTCTCCTTTAACTGTGTGGAAGGAGTAATCTCCACGTGGGCCATACTGTTGCACTTTTTCCCTCTGACCACAGAAAATCTGCAGATAAATTGTAAGTTGTATGGGCAGCTTTAGCCCTAAGCCAGCCATAGACTGCTAGATTTTGGAATACCCAAACAGTGACTGCATCTGATTTGGTATAATCACTGTTCAGATGATTGCTACCCAGCTCCTACAACTTTGTAATGGAAGTTTGTTGAGCCGACAGGGCTGTATATGGCGAGTATTAGAAGAAGCACTGCTATTTTGAAGTGATCCTAAGTAGAAAGGAGAGGTGCACTGAAATAGAAATTTAAAAACCGAAATAAAAAAAATTGTCAGACCGAAAATGTTTTTATTAAACTTTTTAACATTTTTTTTTTTATATCCATTTTTTTATAAAATATTTTGTATTTTTAACTTTTAGGGGTTTTGGGGAAATATTAGGGGTCTAAACAGACCCCTGATATTTCCCTTTTTTAAAATACAGAAATGGAACCAATATATTAGGACAGAAATAAACTCCCCAAATAATAGATTTACACCAATGTGTGTTTCCTGTTTTTGCTTCAACATTGGTGTAAATCGATTATTTGGGGAGTTTATTTCTGTCCTAATATATTGGTTCCATCCAATAATTAGGCATGTTTGGGCTGATGATGCCAGACAGTCCGTCACAGTGTTTATGTATTCAGCTTTAATCTGTGTTATGGTGGCCATACACTTTACAACCCTCGCAAGACTTTGTCTTTGTCTTGCAAGGGTTGTAAAGTACTTTTAAAAAAACGTACGATCTGCCCATCTTGGACAGGCAGATCGTACTTGCGATCATTGCAAGCCCGCCCCCCCTGAGGGGCAGGCTTCTGATTACTAATAAAGGGTGGGCTTCCGATGACTGCAAACGGGCAGTGTGCGCGTGCGCACACCGGCCCGTTCGGCAGTTGTCGAGCCAGCAGGCCACTAACTCGCCGAGAATCGTACGATTCCCGGCGGGTTTTCTAGCATGCTGGTTTGACAGAAGACGTGCGACCGTACAGTAGAAAGGGTTGCACGCCTTCCATACACTGCACGATTCTCGTACGATCGCGGGATTTCCCGCAATTCTCGTACGAGAAACAAAAATAGTCAAATTAAACTGAGCATAGAAATGACATATAAGAATCAGGGGAGCGCAATTTGTATCACCCGATGACCGGGACATGCAGCGCCGGGCGGGTGTTTTCTTCTACGTTTAGCCCTGCTGTGGGCAAGCGGCAGGGCTAAATGTAGAGCAGTGGAATAGTTTTATGCATGTGATCTGGGCGGCTGTAACTTGTAAGCAGTTTGCTTGTTTGTTCCCCTCCCCATGGTCTGCCCCTCTTCATGGTCCTGCCACCTCCCTCCCCGCTGGGGTTTTTTGGTGTCCCCCACACAATGTGCATTAAAGGGTAAGTTCACTTTCTCAAGTAATTTGGGAAAGTGGAAATACCTGCTCAAATCTGGCCCCCCTCTCCCCTCTGATATATTTGCCTTTTGGCAAAGGTCCTTCCCCCCTCCACCAGTACAGGTGTACTATCTGTACCCCATACTGCCATCTAGCTTATCCCTGTGCCAGTATTTAGAATTTCACTCACAAATTGCGAGCACTCGTTGGTCAGTGTGGGGGTCACCTGACCGCGTTAGTAATGAGAAGTGCTTCTTAGCAAGGTTAAATACGGGTTTGGTTATGATTTACTTTTTGTATAATGACAAGTAGATTGGGCCCCCGCTTTAATCCTTGGACAAGCGGGTTTCTTTTTTTTGTTTTGTTATTTCCACACCCCTGAAACGTGCACTACTAAGGATACACCTGTACTAATACTAGCATCGGTGTATTTGGGCGACTCCTTACATGCTTCCTTATTGGCCGGAAACCCACCTCCATTCATCCTAGTCACCTGTTGATGGCTCCTCGGCTAATCTGGAAGCCGGGTGGCAAGTCATTACACACCGCTCGGCTTCCTTAATGGGACTACCGGTATTTTGTGTCCGGTATCAGCGAGTACTGAAAAAAAAATATCTGTACTTGATACCGAAAAACGGCTATCCGTGCATCCCTATACAATACCTGTGGTGAAAAGAGAATATGATGATTAGGTAAAACCTCCCTGTTGGTCACTAAGGACCAGAAGGAAGGCTCTGAAGGGGCAGAGAGAAGCGTGACTTTCACCGGAAAAGTCAAGATTTGCCAATAAATTAAAGCGGACCTTTACTCTCAAAAATCAAAATCTACCAATGCATCCCCCTATGTATGATTAATAACATAGACATGTCAGGTGTACAATGCTGGGATTTTGAAATACTTACACTTGCAGAGGATTCACTTCCTGCTTTGAAAGTGAAAAACGACTTCAGCATGCCAAAACAATGCATAATGCATACTGCGTTTCCAAGCAGAGCATTGCTGGGAAATCTCATCTGCAATCTCAGCAGATCTCAGGGGAAGGCATTTTCCTCCCCTGAGATGATGTGCATAGTCACATGTCTAGTCACATGTGCCAGAAATCCAGGAAGTAATAGGAGAGCTAGTAATCTGCCCTTAGTAAACATGGCCACTGTCGGAAGACTTGGGAAGAAAATAGAAATAAGGTATGCAAAGCCGGCAATTCTCTAGAAGTATGTTTGTAGATTGTCATTACTAAACATTTCTAAAGGTGTGTTTGTTATATTAAAGCTATGGGGAAAGGTCCGCTACCTGTATTTGTGAATCTGCTGATCATTGTCACACATTATTTTCACCAAATATAAACCGCTTCTGCATTTTGTGTGTATATATATATATATTTGTATCTGGTTTACTCCCATTCTGCATAATGCACAACATAATTGTGCTGTGTATCTATAGATGGGCATATAAGGTTCATGATCTTTCATATTTACCAAAAACACTGCACACATCTGAAGACATTTTGTTCACATTTGTGAACAATGCTACCATTCTTGCTATAGTTTCTCTTGTCCATAAGGATGTTTTCTCTATATCACATGAAGCTGGTCATTTATTTTCCACATAATTAGTCCAGTGTTTGTAGGGATGTCTTAAAGTGTTGTGGGGAAGTTAATGGCCTCATTGTACATAACCTATTTATCAGTTTGCTGCACCTCCTACTTCCTGAGTGTTATAAATTGGGGAGTGCTGCTTACTTAAATACCATTTTTTGTCCCCTTATTTTACAGAATATGATCTGCGAGCTCTGAGAAGAAACCTATCTTTGCTGTAACTTACTACTGTTATGGTAAGTAGTGGTTTGTCATTTTGTCTTATTGCAGAAGTGTATTGCTCTAACCATGCAGGTATTTGTATTGGCTGAAACCTCACCAACCGTTAAATTATAATAACAAAAAAGAGTTTATCTTTGACTAATTTACAAATGTTTGTAGTTTAGTTGATGGATGTTTAATGTATTAATGGTGGATGAAGTTGTTCCAAATAACTGTTTAGCTCTCAAGCTTGTACACCTCCTATGGACCAGAGCAATTCTACACTTCTGCTATGGGATTGTTTATTCAGCAATAACTTTGCCATTATTTAAATTAACATTAAATGATTTTTCTTTTTTAGGACAAACTGATTTCTTTTGGTTATATTGTCTTGCAAAAGTGTTTTTTTTTTTTGCAAAATACATGGGCAGGAAAAAAGTATCAAAACTAAATAAAGTTGTTTTTCTACTTTTTGATGTTTAAAAATGTTTTATGATTTTAGTTTTCCAAAGTTTAGTTTCACAAGTGAAAAAAATGCTTTTTTTTTTCTTCCCTTCAATGCGGCATTCACAAAAAATTTTTAAATAAGAATTAGACTTAACTATTATCTTGTTTTTTTATTGGTTGAAGGTGTTATTGGGAGCTGAATAGGATACTTTTTTTTTTTTTTTTCTTTTCAGGTTGGTATAATTTTACTTTACATGCAGTTTTAAGCTCATCCCTTTTTGATCTGCAGATGAATAAATGAGAAAAAAATAAAAATGCTACTTTGTATCCCTTGCTTTTATTCTGAAAGGAGTTTATAAACACTTCTACAGCTGCTGTATTTACATAGCATCTCTCGGACTGTCATTTTGGCAGTCAAGAATTGCTAGAAAGTGAAAGGGAAGGAGTGCAAGTGGGGCAAAAGGCCAGGTTGTCTTGTACACCCTGTGTATTTTAAATTAAATTTCTTTTTTGGGTGTGTGCAGCACACAGATGCCTGTTATCCAGTATTTCAAAGGCATTAATATATAGATTTATTTATTTTCTCATTTGGTGCAGATTAAGTTCTTTTTAATCAGGGTATTTTGTAGAGTTGTATTGTGTTGGAGTACTGAGTGTTAGCATTATGTTGGTTAGTTTAGCAGATTTGGCCAAAAACGCTAGAGGAAAAATGTGTGTTTTTATCCAGAGGGTATTCCTGTTTTCTTAGTAGGAAAAAAAACACTTATCACCCTTCTAGTGTGAGTGGTAAAACTATGATGCCAGTAAAATGGGGTATCACTTGTTTTTTTATTGCAAGGAGATCCTATAGCACTGACTTGCTCAGTTCTCACCCCCACCACCCGCTTGCATTGCAAGTTGAATACACATTTTTGGTTTCCAAATGTACAGTTGGGTCATCTACAACAAACTCCAAAACCGTATTTTAACCATATTCCTTTTGTGATCTCTATATACTTTGTTATGCATATTAAAAATAGTACTCTTTTTTTTACATAGTCAGGTTGAAAAAAAAGACAAGTCCATAGAGTTCAACCTATAGAGAAATAGAGCTATGAAAAATTCTGGCTTAAAAAAAAAGTCTAACCAAGTATTCCTGTCATGATAGTAAAGATGTTCACCTGTAGTCCAGTTGTGTAGTAATTTTATTATCCTGATTCTGCAAGATGTGGCATATAAAACACTTTGAAATGTTAATGTTTTGCAACTTTGCAGGCCGTTACTGCCATGTGATTGGTCCCCAGAACCAGGACTGTGATTGGCCAGTAGGGTTTGCACTTAACATCCGCTCCTTAACTGAATCACTTGTGGGGTTTTTTAGACTAAAGTAAGCATAACTTTTTCTTGCCCTGCATATATTTGCATTCTGGTTTTTTTGTATTGAATTCAGCATTGAATAAAAATGTTGCATTTGGTGCAAAATAACATTTCCTATAAGCCTATAAAATTGCAAAACATACAAATTTCAAAGTGTTCACAATTTTTGCCTTTTTATGTATTTTTGTTTTATTTTTTTAAATAAAAAAAAAGCTGGTATTTCTGTAGGGGTTTCAATGAAATAGACAAATTATTTTATTGTCTCTTTATTCTTTCTAGGTACAATAGAAATGAAGGTGCACATGCATACAAAATTCTGTTTTATTTGTTTATTCACGTTTATTTTTCATCACTGCAACCATTGCCACGCTCATAAGCACGATCACAAAATCACGTCGGAAGAAAACAACATTCACAGTGATTATCAAATCTCAAAAGAGCCCTATCTTCAAAATGGGGCTGCAGAACTTTTAACAAGCCAGACTTCGTCACCAGAGGCTGAGCATGAACAGAGATTTTACATTGAAAAGCTGTTTGCTCGTTATGGGGAAAATGGAAGGCTTTCATATCATGGACTAGAAAAACTTTTAAACAGCTTGGGCCTTGGTGAGGTAAAAGTAGTTGAGATTGGTCACGAAGATTTAGGTCATGACCCAGTATCACATTTGGATGTTTTAGATGTTCAGGAAGGAAGGCACGTTCACCTACATGACCACTCTTCCCACACGGAGGCAGAAAATGAAACCAAAAATGCTGTGTCCACCAAGGAGTATAACGCTTGTAAAGAGAACAAGGCATCATTGCCAGTGGAACCTAAATTATCCCATAGTCCTCACTTACATAATCATACTCATAAAGGTACAAACCATACTCGTAACCATAGCCACCATGGTCATAGTGGAACAGTGAGCCAACTGGACCATGGAGGGCAAATTGAGCCAGTAAATAGTACAGATATAACCCGAGAACATCCTGAGAAAAAGCTTCACAAGCACAAGAAGAAGAAAAAAGGGACTAAGTCGAGTGAACCTACCACAGATTCCGCTTTTGTTTCTGAACGGGATGAATACAACCATGTTTACAAACCTGAACATAGCTTAGATGTAGGTCACCTTCGTGACCGTGAGGATACTGAGAATTTTGAATTGGATGGCCACGCACAGATGCTGGAAGATAGACAGCACAACACTCGTAAAAGAGAAGCCCCGGACAACCATATCGGTATGAAAGGGCATGTATTTCCACAGGCTACTAAGCAGCACAGTGAAGATGTGCATAAGCATGACGAGGTAAGAGAACCCCAAGATTAAGTGTATATTTTTAAGATGTGTAAAAATATATGCATACAATCTATTTTGCTTGCTTTACAAACTAGTAGTCCATTACTGGAGCCATTTTTAAAAATGTATTTTATTGTTTATCCGATTAACCGATTAATCGAACTTAATAATCGGCTAATCTATTTTGAAAATAATCGTTAGCTGCAGCTCTACTTGGCATAATTTTCTTGATGCATATCTAAACACTAGTGCTGTGTATTGCAGCTTACCGGTCCTTAAATGTGATGGTTGTACTTTTTTTTTTTTTTTTTTTTTT